GGTTCATCTTGTTTGGGACTCTCTGTGCTTCCTGGACTTATATGTATATTTCCTTCACCAGGTTAGGGAAGTTTTCTATCATTATTTTTTCAAATAGGTTTTCAATTTCTTGCTCCCTCTCTTCTCCTTCCAACACCCCCACGATATTGGTGTGCTTGAAGTTGGCCCAGAAGCTCCTTAAAGTATCCTCATTTTTTAAAATTCTTTTTTTCTTTTAAGCTCCTTAAAGTATCCTCATTTTTTTAAATTCTTTTTTTCTTCTTTGTATGAGGTAGAGCTGCTATGTCTGCTGGGCATAGCCTCCCTAGTCTCCTGAGCTGGGCACTCCAGGTATGCCCTCCATGTGGGCTGTGTCTACTGTCATGTTGTAGTTGAGTCTTGATTGCTGTTGACATGTCACTAGGAGGGATTGTTGCCAAGGTTGATGTGTGACAAGGACCAGCTGCCACTATATCAGAGCTGCTGTGCAGGGGCAGACGCCATGGAGCAGGCCTTTGGTGCTGCTGTGTCTTCCCCTTGAATGTGTTACTTTTGGAGGTGGTTGGGTTGCAATCCGGCATGGTCTGAAGCTGTCTACTGGGTGCACTGACTCTGGGGCCTCCCTGGAGGCACAAAGTCAGCCACTGTCTGTGCCCCGCTTCCTGACCTAAAGTTACAGAGTGATCTGCATGTTGAGCTTAGAAGTGTCTGGGAGAGGCCAAGCTTTGGACTGAGGCTGGCTGCTGTTAGTACCAGGTCTGGGCCACTTACTGAGAAGTACAGATCAGATGCTGCTTGTTTGAAAGATTTTAGGAAAGTCTGAAACATGAGCCAAGACAGGCTATTTGTATGGAAAAGCCACTGGAAACCACTTGGGTGGTCCACAAGTTGGATGGAGTGGAGACTCAGGGAATCACCAACATGGGGCAAACAGTGTGATCCAGGTTCATGGATACTCAGATATGGCACCCATCTGCTAGCTTTGTGTGTGTGTGTGTGTGTGTGTGTGTGTGGCTGGGGGGGGGGTGCTCTAAAAAAGGAGCAATAGCCTCTGCCACCATTTTCTGTCTGGCAGAAAGCTATCCCCTCACCCCTCACCACTCTCACTCTGATGGCACATAATTCAGCTCCTCACCAAATGTCCCTGTACCTTTTGAACTGCTGCCTCATTACTGGAGCTCAGCGGGAGTAAGTCTGAGTAAGACTGTGCATGGTCCCTTTAAGAGAAACTGCCTGGGACTCCAATAGCCCTCCACTTACTCAGCTACAATCCCTGCTGTTTTTTATAGCCACAAGTTATGGGGACTTCTTTTCCTGGCACTGGAACCCTGGGCTGGGATGCCTGGTGTGGGGCTGAGACCCCTCACTTCTCAGGGGGGACCTCTGCAGTGGAGATATCCCACCCAATTTTTATCCACCACATGTGGGTGTGGGACTAGCCCTTTTGTGTCTCTACCCCTCCTATCAGTCTCAATGTGGCTTCTTCTTTAAATCTCTAGTTGTAGGACTTCTATTCAGCTGTATTTCAGGTGGTTCTGAATGATGGATTTTCTGTAGTTTAGTTGTAATTTTGATGTGTTTGTGGGAGGTTCTGAGTATTGCCTTTACCTGAGCTGCCATCTTGATGGGAACTATTTATTTATTTATTTATTTACTTATTTATTTATTAAAAAAAACTTTACCTCTTGTCAGTGAAAACTTTTTCTTGGACTTGCAGCTTCTGAGAACCTTTCTGGTTTTAAAAGTCTGTACTTCAACTCCTGTCCAGATAAATCTGGTGGCTACTGACTTGGTCTTCAGTATGATCTTGTTCCTTGAGGCTCTGAATTGTGTCTCTGATCTTCATAGCTCTCATGTCGAGCCTGATATAGCAATAGACTAATTCAATTAAAAGGTGAAATGATCCCTGCTGAACTACAGTCATGCCTGGAAGGAGTATGTCCCAGAAGTAGGGTGAGTATAACCCAGAAGGGGGTGAACCCTTGCACTTCCAGCCTAGCCCAAGATCTGCAGCAAATCAGTCAAGTCCATTCCAGGCTCTAAGTTTAAAACCTAAATCCCTCAGGCCTCTCCTAAATCTGAATCTAGGGCATATCTCAAAAATCACAGACTCATCATCATTCTTATTTTTAAAAATAGTTTTTCTTTTCTTTTAAAAAATTTTCCATTACAGTTTGTATTCTATATTATTTTATATTCATTTCAGGTGTACAAATAGTGGTTAGACATTTGTCACATTTACAGTGACCTCTCACCCCCCCCATAAGTCTAGTACCCAACTGGCTCCATACATAGTTATTACAATTTATAATTCAATATGCTGCAGTGAACACAGGGGTGCATATATCGTTTAAATTAGTGTTTTTGGATTACTTCAAATAAATATCTAAAAGTGGAATTGCTGGGTAATAAGTAGTTCTATTTTTAATTTTTTGAGGAACCTCCATACTCTTTTCCATAGTGGCTGCACCAATTTGCAATCCCACCAACAATGCATGAGGGTTCCTTTTTTCCACATCTTCAACAACACTTGTTTTAACCATCATTCTTTAAATGGGTATTTACCCAAACACTCCTAAAACCAGCCTATAAGCAAGGCAGTGCATTTACTCATTGACAGTCAGGAGGCCTGGATTCAAATTTTGGCTTTGCCACTAGATAGGTGCATGTTCTTGGTCAAGGTGCATCACCTTTATGCCTAAAGTTCCTTATTTATAAAATGTGGGTAATTATTTTACCTGCCTCATGAAGTTATTTTGTGGATTAAATGAGTTGATATACTTAGAACAGTACTGCTCATATCATTAAGTGTTTGATTATAATTTTGATTAAGGTATCTCAAGAAGTATGGGACTAGAAAAATAAGTTTTTAAAGAATTAAAAAGGTCCTAAAAGAAGTGCTAGTGCTTTTGGATTATTAAAGCCAAAGGGGATTATCATCCAAATCCATAAAATTAAGAAGTCAATTATAAACCTTATAAAACTTTCTCTCAAAGGGTAGATTCAAAATTAATTTAAATTCTTACAGAATGAGTACATAATAAATTATAGAGAGAACTGAAGATGGTCTGTGGTACATAATTATTTTTCCTAAGTGGAGTTAGGGAACCAAATCCTTTCTAGAAATAAGAAGCCAAACTTCTTGTCAGTACATTTAAATGACTTTGGAAACTTAGGAAAATACCAGTGCTAAAGCCCCACATCAGAGCTATTAAACCAGAACCTCTAGAGATGGCGACCCAGGCTCTGGTATTTTTTTTAAAGCTCCCCAAATACTTGTAAAGGTGCACCAGGATTTAGAAACTGCTGGGCAAGTCAGGTTCTCTAGAGCAATTTGTCTTAATTCTTTTGTTTGTATCTAATTTCCAGTTCTATTATCCACAAGCAGAATTCCATGATCTCTTCTCATTTTTTCTGCTGTCTTCTAGCTTCTGTTCTATTGTGCTGGATGTGTTACAGCCTTCCTGTGAAAATGTATATTCATGCATGGTGGACACTCAATAAGTATTAGAGAAAAATAATAACAATAATAGTAAAAATTATGAGTGCCAGTTCTCCGCACATTAAATCAACAAAAATATCTGGACTAAAACAACCTTTACGACTCTGCAACAAGTGGATATGGATATATCAGTTGTTGATGAAAGAATGTCCAAACCTTCAGAAAGTTTTATAAGAATTTATTTGAGCCAAAGTTTTGAGGACATGCCCAGAAGCAAAATCTCAACGGATTGAGAAAATGTTCCAAAAAAATAGCAGTTTTGCAGCTTATTTTATACATTTAGAATCAAAGGAGAAAGTGTAAGAAAGGTTACACGAAATTTGTTGGTGGTAGATTAAGGAGGTAGGAGAAAGCAAAATGGGGTTAACCTTTAGGACTGGCTTTTAAGGAAAATGGAAAGATACATGCTTCTTTGAAATTGGTGGGTACAGGATAGTTAATATTTAACATTTATAACACATAAAGATGGTATGGAGGCAACAAAATAACAATGAGGAGTTTTGTGATCTCCTGCTCTGTTGATCCTGTGCCAGCTGTGCCTTCAAGGGGTCTAGAAAAGAAAATTACTCTGATATTTCAAAGGTATATTATCCTAGATGCCTAAGAACAATGGGCAGGGCCCCAGCTGGCATGGTTCAGTGGTTGAGCGTTCACCTATGAACCAGGAGGTCAAGGTTCGATTCCCTGGTTGGGGTTGCAGGCTAGATCCCTAGTGTAGGGTGTGCAGAAGGCAGCCAATTAATGATTCTTTCTCATAGTTGATGTTTCTATCTCTCCTTCTCCCTTCCTCTCTGAAATCAATAAAAAAAAATTATATATATATATAAAAGAACCATGGGCAGGGCTCACTTAATCTTTGCGAAGGAAGCTAATGTTGACTTCCCACCATATCTGCCCAGTGAGGAATTTATGCTAAGACAATGCTGTGCAGTTACTTTCAGTCGCTGGGCTTGTCAGGTCCACCAAATAATCCCTAAACTTGTCCAGTCTACTCCGTCGCCCCTTTTCGTTCACACAGTTAGCTTCAGAAGCCGCAGTGCTGTGTGTTGGCCAAGCAACAGCTACAAGGGAAAAAACTGAGTGGCAAGACTGTTATCTTCAACAAATTTTCTGAATCGTTAAGCTACTGGTACTATTTTTTCCCCTGGGAAACAAAATCTCCAAATCCTAAGTAGCTACCAAAAGCTGCATGGCGTCTGGGCTGCCAACAGGACCACCAGACGCGCTGCAGTGGCCTCTCCAGACAGGTTCTCAATCTGCTTTCCCTGGGGCTAACTCCCCGCCGCGGCGCAGCCTCGCAGCCGGCACCTGCGCGCGGTCCTTCTTGCAGGGCTGGCTGCTGAGCCAGGCTCTGCCTCCCACGCCGCCAAACCGACGCTGAACCCGGCCTTGGCCTCGGACACGCGTGCGCACTAGCGAGGGAGGGCGGGCCGAAGCTGGAGGAGGCGGGGCAAGCTCTCGCAGCCAGAAGTCCATTGGCTATCGCCTCGTAGACCACGCCTCCGGGCTTTGGAGACGGCGGGGCGGGCCACGTTGGGCTGCGGGCTTGGGGCTGAGCTTGTGGCAAAAGAGAGGTAAGCGATGCGGGGTGGCAGGCGGCGGACAGTCGGGCGCTGCCCGTGATCGGACGCCGCCGGGTCGCACCCGTCTGTGGCTTATCTCAGCTTGCGTGCCGGGCGGCCGAGGCCTTGCGGGCCTGGCGCTCTGCAGGGAGATGGGGCAGTGGAGCATGTGGCCGCAGGGCCATGTCGCGGCGTGGGGCGGCCTGCAGGGGACAGGTCTTGCCGTTTGCCCTCGTCTCGTCTTTTCTGGATTCTGGACCTCACGGGGACTAGGCCTTCCTCGTTAGAGAGCGCGATGATGCCTGGGTGGGGCCGGCTCTGGTGCCTGCGGCGGGGTCAGCGGGATCCTGACTCGGAAACTGATCATGTGATCCTTGCATACTTACCTGCAGTAGTTTGCAGTCATCACAGACTCTCTGACCGGTTGCCAAGTCCAGGGCAGTGCAGGGGCTTCTGTCCGTGTCTTTTATGGCCTGGGGTGACTGTCTCCTCATTGCTAGTGACTCACTCAGATCCTGTCCACTTTAGTGCAAAGGTTTATGGGTTAGCAGGGCCTGTTTTCAGATCTCCTGGTTCTCTGGTCCTCACTTGCGGGAATTACCCTAAGAAATAGTATGTGTCTGTATGTACATAATAGCACATACATGTATGTTTTGAAATGTCTGCAAAAGCTATGCGGAGATTTGCGGAGACTTTCCCTTATGTTGCACCTGCTCCCCGTGAGTTTTAATTTCAGCTGTGGCATCCTAATCCCTTAGTTTAGTTCCTGAATTTGGAGCTTCTGAAATCAATGAAGTCATCTTATCAAGTATCATGCAATCTTCATCCATTCAACAGACCTTTTGATGGCTGCCTTGATGGTCAGGGTCTTAAGCTACAAACAAATGAGCATTCCTGCGTTTTCTATCAGTTTATCTGCCAGTTTTCTAGATTTGAGATGGAATTTTTGTTGATGGTTCAATTTCAGGTTCTAGATTTAGGAACAGAAGCTTATGATCCTATATCATAAAATAGAGCTCTTCTGGGACCTCCTTGCTTTCTTTACTTTCTCCTCTAGTAAGCCTCAGACCATGACGGCCCAGAGCCCTAATCTTGCTAACTGTACCACTAAAGACCCCTCGGTCTGAAGGCCTATCTGTAAAGTGAGGAGGATGGGTTTTAAATATTCTGTAATTTTGAGATGTTTAACAATAGGAGGGGCAAATGGCATGTTTATTGTGTTAACAGATCTGACCATTTTAAAAACGCAGATTGTATTTTATGCTTAAGTGTTAAATTTTTTAAATTTGTTCACATTCAGTTTTTGACTATCAAGCAAGTGTATGTTTTTAATTTTGATTCACATCCAACTCCTGTATACAAAGCACTATGACTCACCTGAATTTGGAAATATAATAATCAGAAGCTTTTAAATGTAACATATAGTGGTATGATATAAAAACAATTGAATATGAATGCAATTTTCAAAGCAATTTTACTCCCTTTTATAGATAAGTGGTATCTAAAACCTCTGTCTGGGCTATTTGCTTACTTGGTAAATGTTAGGTAGTTACCATTACCTGGCTAATATCTATCAATACGTGGATATGTTAACCATTATTTTATCAACCTAAAATTTACTATATTTTAATTGATTGCTGCTTCCAGTAGAGAATTGATAACCAAAAGGTAATAAATCATTAGTTTGAGAATAAAAATATCCATAAAGATGTAACAATAGTTTTTCATTTATTGACTGATTGATGGTACTGTACAATTAAGTACATCTCTTGGCCTTCCTGCAGGAGTAAAATGATATCTAAACTAGTGGCCTGGTGCACAAATTCATGCACATTGAAAGGAAATTAATTAGAATAAATATTTTAATATTGCTATTCACCCTTTCTCTATAATAGAAGTGTCAACCAAATTCATGATCAACAAGACAGATCGAAACACACACATGCGATTGGCACTAGCAAGAGCTCTATATGTACCGCGCATGCACAAATCAACTTAGCCTTTTATCCTATCTAATAATAGACAAACATGGTAATTAGCCATACCTCTGCTATGCTTCGCATTGGCTAATCAGCAGGATATGCAAATTAACTGCCAACAAAGATGGCGGCCGGCAGCCACCCAGCTGAAGCGAATATGAGGCTTGCTTGCTCCAGTGATGGAGGAAGCCAAGGTTCCCCGCCTGCCGCAGCCCAGCTCTGAGCTCCGGAAGCAACAATGTTTCAATTATAGAAGATAAACAAACCCAGATACCTGCTTTCAGCCAGCCACGGCCTCAGAGCTGGAGCCGGGCCTCAGAGCTGGAGCCGGCTCTCAGCTCCAGTGACAGCTATAGAAGGTAAATAAATCCCAGAATAAAAAAAAAGAAAAAAAAAAGAAGCTGGGAGCTTCAGTCGCCTGCCAGCCTGAAAACAGCCCTCAGCCCCTCACCTGGACTGGCCAGGCACCCCAGTGGGGACCCCCACCCTGAAGGGGGTGTGACCAGCTGCAAACAGCCATCATCCCCTCACCCAGGCTGGCCAGGCACCCAAGCGGGACCCCCACCCTGATCCAGGACACCCTTCAGGGCAAACCAGCCGGCCCCCACCCGTGCACCAGGCCTCTATCTATATAGTAAAAAGGTAATATACAAACTGACCCTAACAGCAGAAAGACTGGTCACTATGACACACACTGACCACCAGGGGGCAGACGCTCAATGCAGGAGCTGCCCTCTGGTGGTCAGTGCGCTCTCACGGGGGAGCTCTGCTCAGCCACAAGCCAGGCTGATGGCTGCTAGTACAGCATGGTGGTGGGAGCCTCTCCTGCCTCCTCAGCAGCGCTAAGGATGTCTGACTGCAGCTTAGGTCTGCTCCCCGCTGGCAAGTGGACATCCCCCGAGGGCTGCCGGGCTGCCAGAGGGATGTCTGATTGCCATCTTAGGCCCAATCCCCCAGGGAGCAGGCCTAAGCCAGCAGGTGGTCATCCCCCGAGGGGTCCCAGACTGCGAGAGGGCACAGGCTGGGCCGAGGGACACCCTACCCCCGAGTGCACAAATTTTTGTGCACCGGGCCTCTAGTAGATATATAATAATAAACTTGCTTAATTAGACCTGCTTTCTGATTTAGCTAAACTTTTTCCAGCCCAGTGAAGCACCCAACTTCTCTTTCAGGTAATTGTCAGCAACACAGCAGTAAATATCAACACGAAGCAGATTATTATTATAGATCATGTAGGGAGAACAAAGGGTAAAATATTTTACTGCAGCAGTGTTTGACTATATTCTGTGCAGTGAGAAAACCTGAAGTCATTTTCAAGGTCCACCATTTCTTACTTCTTTTCAGTCAGGTCAAGTCTCTAAGCTTTCTAAATCTCTGTTTTCTGGCTAATGAAAAGAAAATAGGATTCTACTGAGTTTCCTATCTACCTACTCCAGGACTTCTGTGAGGATCAAATGAGATGAGGCATGGGAAAATGCTTCATAGACATTTGGTTATAGTGTAAAATGTTTCCATCTGGCTATAAAGCAAGTCGAGTTCTTGGGCTGAAGAAATTCCAAGGAGGCTAGTCACTAGGGAGAGGAAGCCAGGCGTTGCTATGTGATATCATTACCTGGTATCATTACCGTTTTCTGGGCTGGGCTGGGTTGTGGGCCACATTTTGCGCCATGGGGTCTCGGCAGCATTGGCTGTGATTTGGTGGGCTGTCGCTCCAGAGTGGTGGCAGGGCCTGTATCCCACTTGGGGGAAGCCAAGTGTTGGTTTGTTGGTGCCAGGTCCACAGTGCTGTTTCTCTGTAAATGTCCAGTGTGCATCACGGCAGCTCCTGCGTTGAGCGTCTGCCCTCTGATGGTCAGTGCGTGTCATAGTGACTGGTCAGATGGTTGGACACTTAGCATATTAGCATTTTATATATATAGATAGTTCTCCTGAAACATAATATTTATAACCTTGTGATACTTTTTAGATATTGTCCACAAGCCATTAGTTGAATTATTTGTTTACATCACTATTAGGGCCATGGAAAATTCAAGAAAATACAACTTTTTGTTAAAAAATATGTTTTTATTGATTTCAGAGAGAAGGGAGAGAGATAGAAAGATAGAAACATCAATGATGAGAGAGAATCATTGATTGCCTGCCTCCTGCATGCCCCCCACTGGGAGTTGAGCCCACAACCTGGGCATGTGCCCTAACTGGGAATTGAACCATGACCTCCTGGTTCATAGGTCAATGTCAACCACTAAGCCATGCCAGCTGGGCCAGCTTTTTTAAATTTAATCTTCACCCAGGGATATGTTTTTATTGATTTTTAGATATACAGGAAAAGGGAGAAAAAGAAAAACATTCATCAGGTACCTGCCATACATGCCCTGACCGGGGACCGAACCTGCAACCTTTTGATGTACAGGATGGTATTCCAACCAACTGAGCCACCCAGCCATAGCAAGAAAATACAACTTTTCAAAGTTTTGCTTTTCTTTTTTTTTTAATTGCTTAAAGTATTAAAAAGAGTATTACGTATGTCTCCTTTTTCCCCCCACCTTTGACAATCCCCTGGCCTCCCCTACCCCCCAGTGTCTTATGTCCATTGGTTATGCTTATATGCATGCATGTAAGTCCTTCAGTTGATCTCTTACCCCCCCCCTTCTGCCCCCCTCCCCTCCCCAGCCTTCCCGCTGCAGTTTGACAGTCTGTTTGAGGTAGTTCTGCCTCTGTATCTATTTTTGTTCATAAGTTTATAATGGTCTTTATTATCCATGAATGAGTGAGATCATGTGGTATTTTTCCTTCATTGACTGGCTTATTTCACTTAGCATAATGCTCTCCAGTTCCATCCATGCCGTTGCAAATGGTAAGAGTTCCTTCTTTTTTACAGCAGCATATTATTCCATCGTGTAGATGTACCACAGTTTTCTAATCCATTCATCTACTGATGGGCACTTAGGCTGTTTCCAGATCTTAGCTATGGTGAATTGTGCTGCTATGAACATATGGGTGCATAAATCCTTTCTGATTGGTGTTTCTGGTTTC